TAAGGAAAACCTACATCTCTTTATTAATGAGTACTGCATTGTAAATAATCTTTGTCATAGGCAATCCACAAGCTACTGGGCCAGTACAATATCGGATACTTGAACGATGTCAAGATCTCACTTTTGAAAACCCTTCAAAGTGGCGTATCATCACGAAAGCTCCCAGAAAGGACTTTAATGGTGAACTCGATCAAACTACTGACTCATCTCAACGTCCTTGACAACGAAGTGACCACGACACTAATGGGCCTCTACTCTGATGCATCCCCTGACCTACAGGAGCTCATAATTAGCTTCTTCCAATTGAAAGGTTTGGATGATCCACACAATTACTTTGCAAAGGAGCTTGACTCAAGCATGTCCGGAGCCTCTATTACCGACTTGATTGCAAAGTCAACTGACTGGCTGGATATCTGGAGGAAAGACTATCACAGCGACAGCAAGCAGCAGCTGGGTGTGGGTGGTGGTGGTAAAGGAGGTAGCAAAGGAAAGGGAACCCATCGCAAATCAAGCACATTGGAAGTACCACCAATGTACACTAACCCAATTGATGTCATTAATTATTTTGTGAGACTAGAGCACGAGAAATCACTAGCAAAGTAAGAGGAGAATGCTGCATGAGTATTGTCATGCTATTTAACTACATGTACACTATTTTTAGACTAAAAAAAGATTGTTATTATTACTTATGCTATTTTTAGACTCAAGAAGGATACCCCACCACCTCCTCCCCCTCCAGCGGAAGAAGAGGATACCTTCACACGAAATGCAGTGGTTCCATTGCCAGTACTAGAGCAGCACGGGAGGCTCACTAGGATTGGGGAAACTCACTGCAGCTGCTGTCACCCTGAACGAGAAACATCACTTTATCTTGGTATGTCCATATACATACATACACATTATGTATATGGATATTAATATTTTTTCGTTTATTTTCTAGCTTCATTGGTTGCCAAACAATCTAACAGTTGGAGGACATTAAGGATGGCTGTAAGGCCACAAACAATCAATCCTTTCCTTTCTCTTGAGGAGAAAGAAGAGCAGTTGAATAGAACTAATGTTGGCAAGTTGTCCTTGATATCAAACACAAGATTATTTGTGATAGAACACTCTTATCCACATTCAAATATGAATTAATTAATATCATTATAATAATAATAAAAATTGCATTACAACAACAACAAAAAAGACAAAAATTATTATAATAAAGAATCTTTTTCTCGTCTACCAAATAATTATACTATTCACTGTAAACTCGTGACAAAGATTTAAAAAAGAAATTTGCTCTATTTATAATAATAATAATTATGATTGTGAGTGTGTACAATAGGTTAGGCTGGGTCTCTAAGCTGAGCCAATCTATAGGAAAGAGAGGAAGAGAGATAATAATTTTAATAAACTAGATTAATATAAGTCTAAGTAAGCACTATACATGTACATGTCTACAGATAGAGTAGATATTGATCTCAATACTTATGCATGTATTGTTTAGAGTAGCATTGAAGGACACTTAAAAAGTTAAGCTAATACAAGAGAGAGAGAGAGAGAGAGGTTTTTAATGGAGACATGCCTTCTTGATAGTTTGTCCTCCTCTTCGTTGGTGAGTGTGCTAACAGTATCAGTTCCTGGGGTAGCAGTTGCTAGCTTGTCCAACACCTCAAGCCCGTTCTCCTCCGCTACCTGTTTCATCAGTCCCTCTACTTGATCTTCTGGAGTGCTCAGTGTCATTGCTGAGGCCATTGTGGAATCCATTACCTTATAAAGAAGCAATAATAATTAAGTGAGTGGGTGGGTATACCTCTGTGTGGGTGTCAAGGTCGGAGAAGAGGGATTCGAATTTGTCCATTGTTGATGAGATCTGATAGAGAGAGAGACAGAGAGGAGAAGATTAAGTGTTGATCATTGTGTCTCAAAATACCTTTTCCAAGTCCATTGTTGCCAATACAGAGTCTAATCCTTTTACCACACTCCCCATCTGCTTTGAAAGCTAAGAGGAAAAAAGAGAAAAATTAATAATGATAGAGGATTTCCTACAAAGCATAATTCATCAGCTGATAAGCACTACAAAGACATGTACATGGCTTTTGGAGCAACTTTAAAATTCAATACAAAATTCAATTTTGATCGGAATCAGCTCAAACTTTCTACACAATATACAAATGTGTATATGTATCAAAAATATATATATATATATATATAAATGTAAAATTCTCTCCTAGTCATTTTTGGGAAAATTTGGCCAATGACCCTGTGTACAGGGACTTTGGCCCAATTTTGAGTGACTTTTAAAATTCATAAAAAATCCAATTTTGATTGGAATTTGCTCAAACTTTCTACACAACTTAAGTACATGTATACGCATCAGAAAATGTAGTAAAAATAGAAAATTCTCTCCTAGCCATTTTTGATGAAAATTCCCTGTACAGGCAGGTTCTTCGGTCATATTGTGGAGCAGTTTTTTTTATTGAAATTCTAAAAAATTTTTGGAGGCTGGGGACACATAAAAACTTAATGTGTTACAAGCTAGTATCGATTGATATAACCTTTACTATTGCATAATACCCAATCCCAATCTCATGTAAAGCACAAACTCACATCTTTCATCATCATGGCCGACTGGACTCGGTTAGAGACTGCATCAATCCTGGCTGCCATCCTCAAATAATTGAGTCCCTCATTCTTCTTACGTATAGCATTCTCTGCATAAATCCTAGCACCTTCCTTGTTACCTTGCTGTAGAGCCTGTACAAGAATCATTAATTAATAGTGGGCACACCCCTTTGTGATTTCACTTTTGTTATTTTCGATTTTTGAATTTTTTCTTCTTTTTCTGCCTTTTTGGCCAGCCTTTCCATCTGCTTGTTAGTCATCTTTAGAGAAACCTTTCATCTTTGCTATGACTAATACAAAAACTTACCTTAAGCTGAAACAGTGTCTCTAAAATGGAGAGAGAGCAAAAAGTAAGTAGATTCAGTGCTTTATCGTCACATACCATGTAGATCAGGCTGTTTCTTAAAGAAGCTAGCCATTGCTGCTTCCACTCAGTTAGAGGAAAGAGAGAGAAAGAGGAGAGAGAACTCTAGTCACCTGACAATGATTTATCTTTTAAGGCGTGGTCAAATGTATAAGTGGGTGTGTCTCTGAATCCGGAATTATACGGAAAACACGTGTAGCAGAGTTTATAAACTGTGGGCGTGCCACAGAGTGACAGAGAGAAAGTCAGAAAGAGAAGAAGGATGGCTCATCCCTCTCGAGCTGAACTGGAGGCTGAGAATGTTGCTCTTCGTCGTCAAATAAGAGAAATTCAACATGAAGTACGATACTAGTAGACCTCACATAGATTTTGTTAGCATGATGTTCAAACTTTAATTTTAACTTAAGTTGGTCTAAGCATAGATATGTATATGGTCTAACTTTTAACAGCACAGTCAGCACTTAAAATTAAGTGGGCTCTGCTGGTCACCAATTGAACTTGTTGTGCAGCCTGTGCTCTTTTGAGTACATTATTTTCTCATTTTAGAGAGATGACGAAAGAAGAAAAAGAGACAACACCCAAAGAGGCTATGAGTCACTAGTGCATAACATAACAGAGAATATTGCAGCAAGTGGTGCTGGGCCTGCTGGCAGTGCTAATCGTGAATTCATTGATGATATCCTTAAACAGACTGATCGTGAGAAAGAAAATTTGCAGCACAAGGTATCATAGTAGACATATGACATATGTGATGCTGTTTCTAGATACAAGACTTGGAGCAGAGGCTTAAAGATGAGTGGAGTAAAAGGGGAGCACTTGATTATGGATCAGCAGGACAGCTACGAGCATTGCAGAGAGAAGTAAATTCTACCTTGTATTTATTAAGTACCACTGACTGATCCTTATCTCTTGCCTCAATAGCTGGATACTATCAAAGAGGATAAGATTGAATTAGAGCATAAATTTTATGAAGAAAAGAGGAAGAGTAATGAATTGCAAAGAAGACTAGATAACCCACTACCAAATGAAAGAGCAAACAGAGTAGAAAGAGATGTAATACATTGTACATGTAGTTTCCATTATTATATATTATTTAGAATGAATTCTTAAGACATGATAAGTGGAAACTGGAAGAGAAACTTAAAGAGGAGAAAAGAATTAGTGAAGAATGGAGACGAAAATATGAACAAGCTGCTTATCCTAGACATAATCCAGTAGAAGATGACCTCAGAAGAAGAGTAAAATACTAATAGTGATTATTCACTTTTTCATTCTTATTGCTTAGATTGATACACTGAATCAGCAAGTAGAAGATTTAAAAAGAGAGAGAGGTATCTTTCAGATGAAAGTGAGACAGGTTGTAGAGGAAATGGAAGCTAAGGTATGTAGTTTTTATAATGACATTATTGTATCAGTTTTGTTCTTTATGTAGCTGCACTCCCAGGGATTAAGATATGATGAGATGCAGCAGGCATATCAAAGTGAGAGAAGAGATAAAGAGAACTTGAAGAAAAGACTTGATGACATTGGTCAAGTGTCACAAGTTCAAGCTTTAAATGATGATATTGCAAGACTTCAGAAAGAGGTATGTATAATATTGTCTTTTTGAGTGAACACATTATTATTATTATTGCAACTCGATTACATATGGTAGGTAATAGAGTTGAGAAAGTCTAAAGGAAAGATAACATCAGATTTAGAGGTATAATGAATTTGTATGACAGATCAACAGTGGTATCATTCTGTTGTAGGATTCACAGTATAAACTTGAAATTGAAGAGAAAAGAACCAAAGACTATGGTGCCAAGGTATATTGTGTTATTCATAATTTATCATTAATTATAATAATTCAGGTTGAAGAAATGGCTCACGAAATAAGGGTAAGTTTTTACGATGTTTTATTACTTTTCATTCTAATAATTTAGAGTCTGGAACATCAAAAGAAAAGAACTGAAATAAAAGTATAGTCATTATACCTTTCACAAATAATGCTAACCATTTATAGCTTGAAGCTGTGTTGAATGAAAAGCAAGAGATTGAAACAAAGGTACAACAATTTTGGACAAAATGTTTTATCCTTATATGTAGTTACACAATAAAAGAGAAAATGAAGAAAAGGTAAGAAAAACAATTATTTATGATTATTGTTGATAATAAAATTAGCACCAGCCAGGTCAACAACAAATTCTTCATGATGACCTAGAAAAAGAAAACCAGAGGCTAAAAAATATATTACGAAGGTATGAAGACCATCTTAGGTCAGCTAAGGACCTTGGACCACTGACTGCCGAAGTTGAAAGATTAGAAGAGGAAAAGAAAGCACTGAGGAATGATTGTGACAAATATTGTGAAGATAACGAACAGCTACGAAAGCAGATTGAATCGTTTTATACAGGCCGGATGTCACAGGGGCTGTCTTCTGTAGATGCAATGCTTCAAGAGAACATGAAGAGAATGGAAAGGGACAAAGAGTATTTAAAAAGAAAGTTAGAAGATGCAGTAAGAGAGTCTGATGATTTGAGAGAGCAAAAAGTAGGGCAGAAAAAAAAGGATGATAGCAAAATACAAAGTTTAATCATGGAAAGGAAAAAATTGGAAGGTGAAATTGATAAGCTGAACTTAGCAAATGTTAAGCTAAAAGAACAAGTAAAAAAACAAGAATCGAGCCTTGAACATGATGAATTTGATAAAATAAAGTATAAGGAAGTTATCTCATTTTCTCATCCTATTGATGAGCCACAATCCATTGTAAAGAAAGGGAGTTATTCTGATGAATTGCATCTAATTGATGCTGATGTAGTCACTCCTTCATATGAGGTATAACAACAATTGTCATTTTTGCTGATTCATGTCAGTGTCATATTGATAGGATTTGCTGAAAATGAAGAAAGAGCTGAAAGAACTTCACCTTGGTGTAATCAGTTTAAAAGAAAAGAACCGTAGACGAGAAGAAGAAAATTAACTTTTATGAATACATTGTTAGTAAAAGAGTGCATATAGTTACATTAGTAATGGTAAAAATTGGTAATAGTATGTACCATCACGTGAGCTAGAGTGAAAATAGCTGACGAGCATTATAATGGCAGAGGTGGAATGGGCTGGTCCACGTCTCCGGTTTCCCCAAAACTCAGAAAAAGAACATCTTGGCCTAAAATCTTCCCAGCAACAGCTATTAAGTAAGGAATTCTTTTGTCATATTTAACTAATATCTTAAAAGGCATCGTAAATCTCGTTGAGATACTTGATTTGCTGAGAAAGCATCAATACTCAGGTACAGATTATCATGATCTTGGTCTTCGTCTGGGACTTTCACCTCGTACTCTTGATATTATTACTAAAGATCATACTGGAGATGTCAATAGCTGTCTGAAAAAGTGCCTCGAAGAATGGTTAAAACAATCTGATAATAGCATGGTGGTTGCTGGTCCAACTTATGATTCACTGATAAAAGCACTGAGGAATATTAATCAAAATGCTGTAGCAGATGGAATAGATAGAGAAAGTAAAAGACATATAATATATAATAATTTTTAATTTTGATATTTCACAGAACATCCTGCTTGTGTTATTTTTTCTCGCTGTAAATCTGATCAGTCTATTGTGAATTCCCTTCCACAGCTTGCCATACTCCTTCACAAGGAGAAGATCATTGTTGAGCAAATAGTGCCTAAAGAAGTATCAGCATTGCTTATAGAAGTAAAAGATGCTATTTGTGCTGATTATCGCAATCTTGAAAAGTTCATCTTTATTCTTATGAAGTTGAATAATGAGCCTGTCACGTCAATAGCTGATTCAATGCTAAAGGAATATAGTGAGCCCATTTGTAATTTGAGATAGTTATACACTTGCGATTGATGTATAGGAAATGTATTTGCTAATAATGAATGCACTATGATTTCTACAGAGCATGGTATGCATGCAACATGTAATAATAATTATGACGTATTTTATAATTATAGTAAATTTTAATCTTCCACTGGAATTAAATGAAGAGTTTACAAGGATTCGTAACAAGTTTGGTGACTTACTAGATGATGTAGCAAATGCAATGGATGATACAGTAGATGTCGAAAAATTAAAGAAATATGTTAGTCGTTCTAACAAACACCTGAGATCTGGACTTGCTCTATGTCAGTCCACAGATGAAGTTGTACAACTGATTGGAGATGATTGTTCACTGATAAATACTGCTTTGTTAGAAGGAATTATTGATCGATTTAAAGTTGACAAGGCAGAAGCTGCTATGAAAATTTACAAAGATGAGATCGAGAAATTTTATAAAGAACCTCTTCATCGATGTTTGAATAAACAATTAGCATCTTTTTCTCCTCTTCATTGTGAAACAGCTTTTATTACTGTTGATCAAAACATTGAAGATTATAAATTAAAAGACATTCAAGATTTGATGACTGTTGCTTTTCAAAGGCTGGCACCACACATCAAAGTGATTTTTATTATAAGGGCTAATTCGTTCTCAATCATTTGTTCCTTTCCTCTTGTTCTCTCTGAGTCACTTGTTGCTGCTGCACTTGAAAATATTGAACTACTAATAGAGAAAAATGTACAAAAATTAATCATTGGATACTGCATTATGTACGACAGGGATCAGGTAATAGTGCTTTATTATTATTATTATTATGTGATGTTATTAAAATTTATAGGTGATTAAAGAATGTGAAGGAAAAGATTTAAAACATTATATTACTTCGTCAGGTATGTAACAGTGAATATTTGTTTGTCTTATCATGATTATTGTTTGATAGAATTTTATTCATCTGTGTACACTAGTAAAAGCACAATGGAGCAGTTACAAGTATCAAAAAAAATAAATTTATTGTCTTTGGGAAATTACGAAACAGTAAGTGCTAGCCATGTTAAACAAAACTTATTGTGAGAATTTAAATCAATCCATATATCATATTTTCTAGATAGAAGACTTGGAACAAGGGCTTGAAGATGAGGGGAGAGGAGCAGGATTGCATGAATATGAATCAGTCTCGGCAGGACAGTTACAAGCAATGCAGAAAGATGTAAAATAAGATGCATTAATTGTATTTGCATTAGAATCCTCAACTCTTTGTCTTAACAGCTGAATATTATTAAAGAAGAGAAAATTAAATTAGAGCATAAATTGTATGAAGAAAAGAGGAAGAGTAATGAATTGCAAAGAAGACTAGATAACCCACTACCAAATGAAAGAGCAAACAGAGTAGAAAGAGATGTAATACATCGTACATGCAGTTTCCATTATTATATATTATTTAGAATGAATTCTTGAGACATGATAAGTGGAAACTGGAAGAGAGACTTAAAGAGGAGAAAAGGAATAGTGAAGAATGGAGACATAAATATGAACAAGCTGCTCATTCCAGACCTAATCCAGTGGAAGATGAACTCAGAAGAAGAGTAAAATGCTTATAGTGACTATTCATTTCATTGTTTCTTCTTATTACTTAGAATGGCATGCTGAATCAAGAAATAGCTACACTGAACCAACATTTACAAAGAGAGAGAGGTATCTTTCAGATGAAAGTAAGACAGGTGGAAGAAGTTGATGCTAAGGTATGTATGTACATGTTGTTTGTATATAATAATATTATTTTTTAAATTTATGTAGTTGCACTCGCAAGAATTAAGGTATAGCGAACTGGATAAGGCATATCAACGGGAAAAAAGAAATATACAGAACCTAAAGGACTACATTGCAAATCTTGAGAAAGAGGTGCATGTATTTTAAACTACTGTTTTGTAAGTATTATATTATGTAAACAGGTATTAGATTTGACAGAATCTAAAGGAAAATTGAAGTCAGATTTAGAAGTAAATTGTGATAGTAGCATTAAATGTAATCATAAATTATTGTAGGATTGCCAGTGTAAACTTAAAGATCACGAGAAATTAAAAGTATGGCTTTTATTAATTATTATATACAAGAAATAATTTTATCATATGATTTTATAATTAGATTGATGAAATGAAGAAGGTTAGTTTTCTATATTTTTATACAGATTTTTTTAATGATTGTATTTTACAGTTTCTTGCCAAAGAATTGGTTAAACTACATGGGGAGTTGATGGAGCTGTATGAAGATGAATTGATGATTGAAAAAGAACTTGACAAGAAAGATAGTGCAACAGCTAAAACTGTTCCTGGATCAGAACCAAATTCTTTTTCATCTAGTTGATTGATCAGTTAGTTTTTGTTTTATTTATTATTTATTTTTACAAAATGGGAAACTTAAGCCACATAGCACATGCGCACACACCATAGATTTTATGCACGCACACACACACACACACACACACACACAAGACTGACACTTTCTCCTTGCAACATTTGGCACTGATGCCTCCTTGTAGAGTCATAGTTCATATAATGTATAATCTATGGTGGAGTGGGAATAATTATGATGGAACCATAATTATTAGAGTAAATGAAAGGGGTAGTCTCTATGAAAGGGGTTGCTGGGTCGTCATTTATTTGAGTTATCCGGAGGTATACGGAAAACACGTGTAGATAGATTTAGATAAAACTGTGGGCGTGCCACTGGCTATTTATTGAAAGAAGAAGAGAAGGAATGGCTCACCAAGCTCACCTTTCAAGAGAGGAACTAGAAGCTGTTCTTCGTCGTCAGATAAGAGAACTTCAACATGAAGTATGATGCTAGTATATTGCTAGACCTCACATAGATTTTGTTAGCATCATGTTCAAACTTTAATATTTTAAGTCTGTCTAAGTTTCAACAGCACAATCAGCACTTAGAATTAAGTGGGCCCGATCTTCAACAATTGGATTTGACGCGCAGCCTGTACTCTTTTGAGTACCAGTACATTATTTTCTCATTGTAGAGAGATGACGAAAGAAGAAAAAGAGATAACACCCAAAGAGGCTATGAGTCACTAGTGCATAACATAACAGAGAATATTGCGGCAAGTGGTGCTGGGCCTGCTGGCAGTGCTAATCGTGAATTGATTGATGATATCCTCAAACAGGCTGATCGTGAGAAAGAAAATTTGCAGCGCAAGGTATCTATAGACATATGACATATGTGATGCTGTTTCTAGATACAAGACTTGGAGCGGAGGCTTAAAGATGAGTGGAGTAAAAGGGGAGCACTTGATTATGGATCAGCAGGACAGCTACGAGCATTGCAGAGAGAAGTAAAATTTGCCTTGTATTTATTAAGTACCACTGACTGATCTTTATATCTTTGTCTCAATAGCTGGATATTATCAAAGAGGATAAGATTGAATTAGAGCATAAATTTTATGAAGAAAAGAGGAAGAGTAATGAATTGCAAAGAAGACTAGATAACCCACTACTACCAAATGAAAGAGCAAACAGAGTAGAAAGAGATGTAATACATTGTACATGTAGTTTCCATTATTATATATTATTTAGAATGAATTCTTGAGACATGATAAGTGGAAACTGGAACAGAAACTTAAAGAGGAGAAAAGAAGTAGTGAAGAATGGAGACAAAAATATGAACAAGCTGCTTATCCTAGACATAATCCAATAGAAGATGACCTCAGAAGAAGAGTAAAATGATAATAGTAATTATTCATTTTTCATTCTTATTGCTTAGATTGATACACTGAATCAGCAAGTAGAAGATTTAAGAAGAGAGAGAGGTGCCCTTCAGATGAAAGTGAGACAGGTTGAAGAGGAAATGGAAGCTAAGGTATGTAGTTTTTATAATAACATTATTGTATCAGTTTTGTTCTTTATGTAGCTGCACTCCCAGCGATTAAGATATGATGAAGTGCAGCAGGCATATCAAAGTGAGAGAAGAGATAAAGAGAACTTGAAGAAAAGACTTGATGACATTGGTCAAGTGTCACAAGTGCAAGCTTTAAACAACCATAATGCAAGACTTCAGAAAGAGGTTTGTATATTGTCCTTTTTAGTGAACATATTATGTGAAGTACATACGGTAGGTAATGGAGTTGAGAGAGTCTAAAGGAAAGATAACATCAGATTTAGAGGTATAATGAATTTGTATGACTGATCAATAGTGGTATCATTCTGTTGTAGGATTCACAATATAAACTGGGAATTGAAGAGAAAAGAACCAAAGACTATGGTGCCAAGGTATGTTGTGTTATTGTTATTCATAATTTATCATTAATTATAATAATTCAGGTTGAAGAAATGGCTCATGAAATAAGGGTAAGTTTTTATGCTGTTTTGTTACTTTTCATTCTAATAATTTAGAGTATGGAACATCAAAAGAAAAGAACTGAAATAAAAGTATAGTCATTATACCTTTCACAAATGATGCTAACCATTTATAGCTTGAAGCTGTGTTGAATGAAAAGCAAGAGATTGAAACAAAGGTACAACAATTTTCAAAAAAATTTTGATTTATTTTTATATGTAGTTACACAATAAAAGAGAAAATGAAGAAAAGGTAAGAAAAACAATTATCATCAATGATCACTGTTGATAATAATAATTAGTACCAGCCAGGCCGACAACAAATTCCTCATGACGACTTAGAAGAAGAAAACCAGAAGTTAAAAAATCTAATACGTAAGTATGAAGACCGGCTCAAATCACCAGGAACAGCTAAAGACCTTGAATTACTGACTGCCAAAGTTGAAAGATTAGAAGAAGAAAAGAAGGCACTGAGGAATGATTGTGACAAATATTGTGAAGATAATGAACAGCTACGAAAGCAGATTGAATCGTTTTATACAGGCCGGATGTCACAGGGACTGTCTTCTGTAGAGACGATGCTTCAAGAGAACATGAAGAGAATGGAAAGGGACAAAGAGTATTTGCAAAGAAAGTTAGAAGATGCAGAAAGAGAAACTGAAGATTTGAGAGGGAAGAGAGCAGAGCAGAAAAAGAGAGATGATAGCAAAATACGAGATATGATCAGGAAGGAGAAAAACTTTAAAACAGAGAGGGACCGATTGGAACATGAAATCGATGATCTGAAATTCACAAATAAAAAGCTAGAGGAACAATTAAAACAAGAAGAATCAAAGATCATTGAGACTGAACGTGACTTTGATAAAATGAATCCGAGGCGTAAAAAAGGTGTCTCATTTTGTATTCCCAATGATGAGCCACAGTCCATATTAAAGAAAGGGAGCTATACTGATGAAAGGGAGCGGATCAATGATGAGTCAATTCCTGCATCCACTCCTACGTATGAGGTAGATCTATAACAATAAATATTTATAGTCAGGGTTTGCCACTTGTTAAGTGAGCTAAACAGCATGCTGACAAGCAGTACATGGTTGTGAAGCTACTTTAAAAATTTATAAAAAATTCAAATTTGATTGAAATCAGCTCAAAGTTGATACACAACATGAAGACATGTATTTGCATCAGAAAAAAATGTAAAAACTGTGAATTTTTTCCAAAATACCTTTTACTATATAGTACAACCTATGACAAAGTCTATATGAAACCCTGTTTATAGTTATTGTTTTTTCTTGCTTCCTGTAACAGGATTTAATGAAAATGAAGGAAGAAATAGGAAAACTTCAGTCTGGTTTAATGAGTTTAGAAAAAGATAATCGTAGGAGAGAAGAAGAAAATCAGAGAATAGAAGAATATTAAATTTATTAATGCTTTAGATAATACTGTTGTTGTTTTAATAATAATTCTTATTTTTGTATTGTACAATTGGGGTGTGGCTGAAAAAGAATGGGAGATGAGTCGCTCAGGAAAGAGTTAGAAGAAAGGACGAGAGAGGTATGAATATGACGGTAGACTTTAGTATGAATACATTATTTGATCTGCAATTATCTAGAGTAGACCCAAAAGCATAGCCTAATATTAGACCAAACTCACACCAAATTTATACCCAAGCCTCTAATCAGACACTTGTGAATTTTGTCTTGTATATGTACAGTGCAAGGTATAGTGGCATGTATCACTCGAGGTATCACTCTTAACTGTGTAGTAAGGTTTCCCATCATGCATGGCTAAGGCCCTTCCTCATTTTTGTACCTCTGAACTGCATTATGGTTTATATGGTTATACAGTCAGCAAAGGTCACAATTAATACAGTATTTCCCTAATCTATTATTCATACATATAATTGTACTACGAATTATGGAGGAGTGTCTTAAGTATATGCTATATAAACAAAATTAGTTTCATTGTTGTTATAATGAATGGGTCAGTATACCCTCTGTACTCAACACAGTCATTCTATAGGTTGGCAGGTATAAAATACATATTTCAGAAATCAATAAAGAAAATAAAGAACTAAAACGTGAAAATGACAATCTAATCGGAAAAAATCATGTAAGACTAAGCCATGAGAGAGAGAGAGCTATGTAAACTTATGTGTAATTTAATTTAGAATCTAACGGCTCAAATTAAGACACTAGAGAAACAAGTTTGTATATGTACATATATAAGTATATTAACTATATCTTATACAGTGTGCACATTGCAGAGGGTTAATGGCAAAGCAGGTTGCACAACGTCCTGATGCTGCCTACACTCCATCACTTATGCACGAGATGAAAGATAAAGCTGCAACTACTGAAGAAGCTAATCGAGAGCTAAAATTACAAGTTGAGCAACTAAAGAAGAAATTGGAAGAATCTGAGACTCGAGAGGCATATCTCAGTGAAAGGTTGGATGGCCTTGAGTATCAATACAATCAAGTCACATCAGGCAAGGATTCAAACAAGGAAAAGTTATCAGCTGTTAATGAAGAGCTACGCCTATTGAAAATTAGTCATGATGAACAAAAAGAAGACTACGAGATACAAATATCAAAGCTTAAACGTGATATTAAAGAGCGTTATGATGAACAGAAGGAACGTGAAGAGAAATGGAAGTCGAGAGAGTCAGACTTGTTACTTAGAAATGCAGGCCTAGACGGAGACTATCGCTCAGTTTATAATGAGCTACTGGAGTACAAGAATAAAACCAGCAGCTCTGGATCCATCAATAAGGAGGCAGCCACACAATCTCGTCAGCGAAGAGCAGAGACAGGTGTTGAAAGAGTAATAAGTGAGAAAGAAAGTGCCACAGCAAAAGCAGTGAAGTACACTAGCAAAGATGATGAAAACTCTGCTTCATCATCAGCAGATTTACACGTTCCGGCTGGATCTAAATCTGAAAATGTAATTATAAATAAAATAAGTTTTATTACATTGCATTTTACAGGTTCTTGCAAAAGAATTTGGTAGAGTGTATAGGGAGTTTATGGAGTTGAAGATTAAGTATGACAAAGAAGTGAAGGCTAGAGAAGAGCTTGACAAGAAAGATAAAGAAAAGAAGAAGAGTGGAGTGCACCGACTAGAAACTATCCCTGGATCAGAACCAAATTCTTTTTCATCGAACTGATTGATCAGATTAGTTTTATTAAATTTATTTTGTCATTTCCAAAGACAATTCAAAGTTTTTTATTTGTAGTCAAAACCTATTACATCTACTTAAAATTGCTTTGCTGCTTTATTTGCTTGAAAAATCATTTCTAAAATTTGTAAGCACAGGCCACAACTCACTAATTCCTCTTACCAACCTTTTTGCTTTCTCTCCAAATCAATCTATCAACAACACAAAATCACAAATGTATCAACTAAGACATGACAAAATGCTAAAGAATAAGGAAGTGGTAGTGGAATCGTTGCATTGATATAAGTATCAAGACCTTATCTACTCTTGTCATTAGTAATAGATAATTATAGATCTATAGCATGATCTGACATTCTTGTAACAATAGAGAGCAGCTCACTGCTGTTAGGTTATTTAATATAAATGTAAACAGACTATAGTTCTCATAGATTTATCAAAAATGAGTCTTGCCCAGAACCAGTGGTGTTAAAGCTATGCTTAACTTAAAATGAAATCAAATTAATTTAAATGATTTATCATTAAAAATAAACAATAACAAGTCCACCTAATTGGACAAAATGAAATAAACTGCCAAGCTTTAATTAGTTTATTTAACAAGACTTATTATAAAAATCTAAGAACTGCATAGTAACTAGTGAAGCAAGAGGCAACTATGAGGCTCATCATAGCAATCATTATTTGCATGATAGTGAATGTCATTAGTGTGGAGATACCCCCTGCAGATTGTAAGTTAATAATAATGCAATAGAGACTAGTGTAGGATTCATCAATGGTTCTTATAGACTTTGATGAAAACATTGAAAATGAGTCTTGTCCAGAAGTAGAAAGAGGTAAAATTAATAATGCATTAAAAAATGTCACATTATTATTGTATATAGCTGAGGATGAAAAGGATCTAGTACTCATTGATGGTGATATATTAGTGAGTAAAGAACAAGCAGCAATATACTATGAGAGTGGCTGGGATGGACTAGTAAACTCTGAAGCATGGAGTCCAACTAAAGCAAGATGGAGTAAAAGGATTCCTTACCAAGTTGGAGCAGGAATAAGTGCCCCTGTAACCGTAGGGGACGGGCGTATAAAAGCAAATGTTGAAAATTCTATTGCAGAGCTTAATGGAAGAACCTGCCTATCGTTTGAAGCCAAGACTTGCAAAGATACAGCATTCATTAAATTTGTTAAAGGAGATGCGTGAGTATATAGACATTATACAAAATAGCTACAATTACCTTGATGAATATTATTATATAGATGCTATACAATAGAACTTGGTAAACCAAACCATGGTGCAAGGACTATTTCCTTAGCATACAGTTGTGGTGGGACTGCAAAGAGAGCCAGGACGCCAGCACACGAGGTGATGCATGCACTTGGTAGAGTTCATGAGCAAACTAGACCAGACAGAGATAAATATGTCACCATTGATGCTAGAAATACATGTAAGAGTATTATGATACAATGTAATCAATTTATAGCATTTGTCTGTTTGCAGGCAGTGACCAAATGGCTATAAACAAAAATTTCAAAACTTTAAATATAGATTATGACTTTATGTCCATCATGCATTACAGTCAATGGCAGTGTTCATTTAAAGTCACATTTGACAATCAAGAGCATAAAGTCCCTTCAATGATTTTTAAATATGAAGGTAGAGCTGATGATGTTGGGCAGAGGCTGGTACTATCAGATAAAGATATTCAACACATTAAAGCCATTCACTGTCCAAGTGAGTTTTATAATGTACTAGGAACTTATGATAGTATTCAACAATCAGGTATGATGATGAGACTGGTTGGAGGGAGAGATAACAGTGAGGGACGTCTTGAAGTTA